CTAGAGGAACAAGGCACGGCGAACGTCTTTGTGTACAGTTCACTTGATCGGCCGCGGTCAATCCTTTATGGCTACCAGATTTCGAGAACGTCTTGTGTAACACTGACGAACGCCTCCCCACCAAGGTGGGTGCCCAGATGTCTCCGGAGGTCAAAAGATCTAGAGAACGCCTTATTACACACATTGCACTCAAACGGCTTCTCACCCGTGTGGGTGCGCAGATGTGTTCGGAGATTACTAGGCGCGGAGAAAGTCTTGGTACACACTGTACACTGGAACGGCTTCTCTCCCGTGTGGGTGCGCAGATGTGTTCGGAGATCACTAGGCGCGGAGAAAGTCTTGGTACACACTGTACACTGGAACGGCTTCTCTCCCGTGTGGGTGCGCAGATGTATTCGGAGACAACTAGGCGCGGAGAAAGTCTTGGTACACACTGTACACTCGAACGGCTTCTCTCCCGTGTGGGTGCGCAGATGTGTTCGGAGATCACTAGGCGCAGAGAAAGTCTTGGTACACACTGTACACTCGAACGGCTTCTCTCCCGTGTGGGTGCGCAGATGTATTCGGAGATTACTAAGCTCGGAGAAAGCCTTGTTACACACTGTACACTCGAACGGCTTCTCACCCGTGTGGGTGCGCAGATGTGTTCGGAGATTACAAGGCCTGGAGAAGGTCTTGTTACACACTGTACACTCGAACGGCTTCTCTCCCGTGTGGGTGCGCACATGTGTTCGGAGATTACTAGGCCTTAGGAAAGTCTTATTACACACTGTACACTGGAACGGCTTCTCTCCCGTGTGGGTGCGCAGATGTGTTCGGAGATTACTAAGTGCGGAGAAAGTCTTGTTACACACTGTACACTCGAACGGCTTCTCACCCGTGTGGGTGCGCAGATGTGTTCGGAGATCACTAGGCGCGGAGAAAGTCTTGGGACACAGTGCACATCCGAATGGCTTCTCACCCGTGTGGGTGCGCAGATGTTTTCGGAGATAACTAGGCCTGGAGAACGTCTTGGTACACACCGTGCATTCAAATGGCTCCATATTCCACGTGGACAGCTGAAAATAAAGGTATATCTATTATTACAAGTTGTAATAAATTATCTCGTAACAGGTGTTTAAGATGTTTAAGTTGTATCAACGACCTTATTCTTACAGCAGGGACAATCAGAAAATGTGGTTGGGGCAACAACCGCACAGGTAATCAGGAATGCGGTTATCGCTGAAAGAACCATGAGATGGTTTCTATACAACTTTTCATTTTGGGTGTACGTAGATAGCTCTTAGGAAGCCGTCCCATAACCCCTGACAATAGGCAGCCCACAGTGCATCGCTCTTCCCGTCCGCTTCAGGGCGTCGAAACGCAACGAAACGCGTAACGAAAACGCATAAAAACGCAAATCAAATTGCAACTTTCATGCGTTATTGAAGCGTTTTCAAAGAAATTCAGGAGTGTCCTAATGTATAATACTCGCAGAAAGATGAAAACGATTCAAAAACGCTTCTAAGCTGCAATTTTACTTCCGTTTTAGTGCGTTTCCGTTACGCGTTACGTTACGTTACGACGCCCTGGTCCGCTGGACTTACAGCCGCGCCCGCCAGTCTCGTTATCGGCCAGTTTCTTTGGAAATCATGATAGAAAGATTTTTAAAATCTTTAGGCGATAAGCTATTATACGAAAGCGAAGAAGATTATCGTCTGCTTCCGAACCATTACAAAAGCCTCGACATAAATCGAAGACGCGCCCTCTCTCGTGACCGGCTAGAGAAAGGCCGTCTCTGATTGAGCTCACTGAAAATACGCCTCTAAAACTGTTTAAAATAATATAATATAAACTGACCGAAGGCCTGCGGTATGATTTTTCAGAATTTTCCTTGTGACGTGGAGCAGTCCGGTAGCCGTGGTGTGGGGCTGTCGCACTGCACGGGTCTGATGCCGCCTCCCGACTGTCGACTTCGGTTGCAAGCCGGGCAGAACTACCCAGCCCAGCAGAAACTGCAAGGCCCGCAGCTCTGCAAAACCGTAGACCGACCGCTCACGGCTCGCGCTTAAGCCAGCACATTCCATCCATCCCCCCTCTCCCTCACCCTCCCTCCCTCCCCTACCCCCTCTATCTCTCTCCCCCTCTCCCTCTCTCATCCTCTGAAAAAAAAGGAGAACAAAAGTTTGTCTAAAAACCTATGCACTCGGAGAACTCCTGGTTCTCCTTCCCCGCTGACACTCTCCCCTTTCCCAGCGCGACAATCACAATCACGCCGCACTGCCCCAATCACTCACCATTGGGCTTGTTCCACGCGGCCAGAGCACCGTTTGGGGCGGCGGCCTGTCGCTCTGCGGTGCATTAAGGTCACCCAGTGCTGCGCCAGCTGCGCTCCGGCGGCATGCAGGCATGGCATCAGCGGACTGCCCCGCGCCGCCACCTGCAGCACCCCCGCACCCTCCTAGCTTGGGACTTATTGGCTGGGGGAAGTGCATGACGGGACGGCTGGGGTTTATTAGGCTCTTGGCCGCGCTCCTGGAACCTGGAGATAGCATCGGCAGCACGGGCCTCGATACCATCGCCCCCCTCCCCCCCCC